CCAGGCCCCCCAGGAGAGCCCGGGGCAACCGGGGGGGAGGCCGAGCCTGGGGACTTGGGGAAGGGGGGGGCCTCCTTTGGGGGGGGGAGGGGGGTTTCGACTAAACCCCCCCCTGTGGTGGTCCCGGTTTTTTGGGGCGCAATTTCCCATGGGTTTCACCCCAATTTGGGGGTTTTACCCAACCTTTAACCGGTCGGGGGGGTGGGTTAATTAAAAAAGGGCGGGGACCCCAGCCAGGGGGTTTCTCCTTTTGGCCCCCCCCCCCAAAAAAAAAAAAAGGTGCCAAAAATTTTCAAAAGTTTTTTCCGGGGGGGGGGGGGGCCCCCCCCCCCTTCCCCCAGGGGGGGCCGCACTTTGTTCGCCGGTCCCCCCCCGGCAATTTAAAAGTAAGGGCGGCCCCCCCCCCCAGCACGAAGAAGAAGCTTTTTGTTTTTGGGGGGGGTGGGGCCCCCCCCCCCCAGCAGCAGCGTTTTGTTGCTGGGGGGGTCCCCCCCCCCCCCCCCCCAGCAGCAGCGCTCTGCTGCTGGGGGGTGCTGGCATCTCTGTACAAGACAGCAGTTGTAAGTAAGTACGGTTAGCGTTCCAGTGGCGAGAATTTATGGTCAGTCACATCTTACAAACGCCAGCACTCGACACGACGAAGGTGAGAGAGAGAGAAGGTGTATTGGGCTCGAAGGCGCGGTGAACACAACCGACTGCCTCGAGCGTACCGCTAAAACAACACGAGCCGAGGTGGGAGGGGGGACGGCGGCGAAGAGGCGGGAGAGCTGGGTCCAGTGCCTTCTGCTGCTGGGGAGGTCGGGACCCCCCCCCCCCCCCTAGCAGCAGGGATGACTTTAGATGTGCAGGGGGGGCAGCGAGCAATGTGCGGCCGCTCTTGGTGTCCAGTCCGAGCCTGACTGTAACGCCTTTCTATCAATCAATCAGATCGTGAGAGAGAGAGAGAGAGTTTGTATCGTGAGTGAGTGAGAGAGAGATTGTTGTTTTTGAGTGAGTGAGTATTCTTAATACGAAACCACGACGACAAACGAAGAAGAAAGTGTTAGAGCTGATTGGTATTGCTAAAAATCTCTCTCTCAAACGACGAGTCCACGAGAGACGAGAGCACACACTCTCACCGGATCAAGTTCTCATCTTGACTTCCCACGAATAGTTCTCTTAACGAACTGTTTTGTTGTCTCCGGAGAGGAGGCGCACGCAGAGGAGGGCTCCCCCTCCTGTGACGCCTGAACTCTCTGTGGGACTGTGTGGTGTTGGGCGGGAAGGGGAGACAAGAGTGCCCAAAGAACGCAGCGCTGCCTCCCGTCCGCGAGGCGATCGTGATTGTGTTGAGGACCTCTCAACTCCTCACGACACATGAGGACCTCTGCCTTGTCCTCAGTCACGGCACATTTCATGGACAAGAGACACCCGGTCCCGGAGCTTTGTGCACGCGACGGGCGTTGGGCGGCGGGAGAACCGTGATATACATCAAAGTGCTACGTTGGCCGGAAGAATGGCTCCTCGACGCGGGGGACCACATGTTGAGGACCTCTGCCTGAGGACCTCTCGCGGCAATCACACCATTTTCGTGACTCGCTTCCTCTACCTACAATGCTCCATGGGACCATGGCAGACACTCCCAAAGGTGGTGTGGGCTTTTAGATTTTCTTTTATTTGTTTGATGAAGTGAAACACAAACCGAATTCTTTTATTTCGCGGTTCGAAGTCCTTGCCGCCATGCTGCTTCTGCTGTCGGCAACGGCGACCGTCCAGCGGCCGATCCAGCGTCCCAAGGTATCGCACGTGCTGCTGCGCGCCTCCGTCAACGGCGAAGAGGCGCTTCGTTGTGCGCCTTGCGACGTCCGCATCCTCGGCGCAACAGCAAGTCCGATCATACAGCGCACAGCGCAAGTTGCCGCAGGCCAGATCATTGCTCGATATAAGGAGGAGCGTTGCGTGTTTATGCAGAGCGTGGCCGGCCTCGCCAAGCGACCTGCGTCGGCTGCTTCGGGATCTGCACGCGACGCTGCCGTCGAGCTCCTCCTTGCGCTTACACTGAACCTGCCCTGTTGGGTCTTGCTGGGTGTCCTCGTGGGATGTGAAAATGCTCTGATTTCGTAGCATGGGGGAGAAGAGATCCTTGAACGATATCGGTGTCGAAACACCGCTCTGACAGCGCTCACAGCTGATCAGAGAAAACAAAAGTAAAGCAAGCGCGGAAGCGCCCGACTCGGGACCACCCCAGACAGCAGACTCGCATTGGGGAGTTTACAGTTTTCGCTCCCTGCGCGACAGCGCTCCGTCAATCACAATCTCCCACGCCGTCATTGCACCACTACTCGACAGATGACACCGGGCGTGCCCACGGCAGCGCCGTGCATGCTAGATACTAGACACCCGGCCGGGGCTCCGACCGCCGCTCGCGCCCGCCAGCGCTGCGCGCGACGGCGCCAAACTCCTCCGACGAGGTGGCCGAGCCGAGGGCCTGCCCCTACTTGCGCGAGTTGACGACGAGGCAGAGGGGGAGGCAGATGAGGAGGACGACGAAGCCGCAGACCTGGAGGGCGTACGACCACGAGCGGCCGCACTCCAAGTCGGCGTCGTCCAGCGCCTCGCAGGCGTTCGACTCCCACAGCGCAAACGGCACGACCGAAAGCACCGCCGCCGCGGCGACGAGGGCGGCGGTGAGGCAGGGCTTGGGCCGCCTGGAGCAGGAGCCGTGGCAGGCGAGCACAAAGGCGACGAACACAAGCAGAACCGTCAAGATCGACGCCGCCTCCGCGCCCGCGATCCAGGGCTTGAGCGTGGCCTCGGAGTTGCCGCCAAAGCACTTGTCATCAATGCAGGTATCGCCGCCGGCGCAGTCGTCGTCGTCGTCGCAGGAGGGCGTCTCCCAGGCGATGCTGCGGGCGTAGGCGCAGAGAGAGTTGTCAAGGTAGTCCTGGCCTGACGTGGGCGACGAGACGTACTCGCAATGGTAGGAAACCACGTCCGAGCAAGACCACTTGTCGCCGCCAGCGAGTGTGATGAAAGCATTGGCCGCGTCGCAGGTGTCGTCGTTGAGGTATCCGCCAACGCCCCAGATGCCAAAGCCGGCCGTATAGCCCCATTTCCTGCCAAAAAATGTGCCATCTTTCGGGAATTCGACGCTTCCGGCGCTGAACGCAGGAAGAGCGCATGCCACGACCACGAAGAGAAAGCTGACGAGGAGAAGGACGGCGGCGACGCACATGCGGCGCTTGTTGATCGACTCGCTGCGCGACTGCACCTGCATCGTTGACGGAGCGGTGAAAGCGGAGCGGCGGTGTCCTGTCAATCGCTCCTTGGGCTCTGCCGCTCCCTGAGTTTTCTTTTTCTTCAAAGCGGTACAAAAGTCGATCGTGCCCTTGCGCCTATGTGCCGTATGTGTTGTCGCCGAGCTCCACACTGCGATAATCAGAAGACCCGAGCACCTATCCGCCCTATATCATTAGTGTCGGCGCGGTAAAATTCTTGCCAGGCTGTTCCCTCGCCTTGGCTGTTTTTGTTGATTTTTAGCAATACCAAACAAGTTGTGTTTGTTGTTGCTTGGCTGTGGTACAATAAATAAATAAATACAACGGACATCCCAAGCTAGGGCTGGGTCGAGGACAGACACGTCCCCACCTTTGCAGGATTTTGCAAAAGCGAGGGGGGAGGGCGCATCGCCGCGCGGAGAGGGCTGGGCACAGGGCACAGGGGATCTCTCTCGCATAGGATATGCACTCGGCGGCACGAGGGCAAGGCTGGGCGTCCTATGTTTGTGCTCCCCCCCGGACCCCTCGCTCTCGGGCACTACTATCCATCTGACCACTCTTCGACGGGGCTTGGCGAGCGGCCGCGCTGCGGGGCAGGGCTGGTGAGAATGGGCTCTGGCCACTTGCCCGTGCGGTTGTAACCGCGCATCAGCCGAACGGAGGCCTCGACCGCCCCTCGCGGCAAGCTCTCGAGCATCTCGAGCAGCTCACCCGCCGCCATCGCCGCCTCGAAACAGCCAGTATGTATGTATGAGCCAGTGCGCGCCGCCGGGTGGATTATTTTATGAGAGCGCCTTCGTTGTTAATAGTACAAACCCAATGGTCCTCTGCGAGCGGTCCTTCGTTGCAGTCGCACACACGCACACGCCACGCCGCACCGCGCGCCCGCCCACCGCCCCGCCCAGGCGGGAAAGAGATGAGGAGATGGGACAGCGAAGGAGGAAGCACAAGCACGTATGGGAGGGTTCAGTAATGCGCCACGCTGCCCGGCGTCTCTCACTTTCCGGGACAGCCCCGCCCTTGTGAGGCAGGAAAGTGACGGCTACCCCGTACGCCCTGCAGCCTGCTACCCCGACGCCGACCGCCCATTCTCCCCTCCTCGTTCCCCCCTCGAATGCTCCGGACCCCGACAAGCCGCCCGTCGTTGGGCCTCTGCCCCGCACGCTCCCGCCCCTCTGCCCCTCACACACACCCAGGCCCGACATGCACATACAAGACAAACCCGGCGTCCTGCTCTCAAAAGAAAAGAAAAAATGGGAAGGAGGAGACCAGCGGGGGAGACTCCCCGCCTATGCAACACCCCAGAGAGGGGCTGCCATCGCCGAAGCTGTGCTTAAGCATAACTCCCAAACCCGCAGCGGCCCGGGGGGCCTTGGGGGCAGCCTGCCGGACCGCTGTTGCACGGGGCCAAGCACCGGAAGATGAGTGGAATTGATGGATTGGGCCGTCGTCCGTGCCTCCCCTCTATACGTCAGAGTGGGACCTACGCCGCGCCGGGTAAGGGGCGCGCCCGGTCCTCGACGGAGCCGCGCGCCCCAAACGACCCAGGCGGCGAGTAGTCGTCCTCGAACCTTCGACTCGTAGTCGCCCGTGGTCAGCGCCCCTCCTCCCTCGCCCGTCCCTACTCGTACTGCTCTCGAGGCGCCCGCGGCATCTCGCCGCCCATCTTCGGCCACGCGTTGTAGTCGAAGATGGCGGCGTTGCGCCTCGCGACGATGGTCGAGTGCACTTGCAGGAAGCGCTTGCGCTCGCTACTGACCCGCCATCGTTCGCTGTCGGAGGGGTACGCCTTAGCGGCCTTGATGTCGAAGTTGGTGTTGAACCACGTCGCCGCCTCGTGCCCGATGCCGCCACGCGTGCTCGCCGCCCACGTCATAAAGTCGCAGTTTTTGGCGTCGCACGCCGCTGCCTTGGCCTTCCGCTTCGTCGCCTCGGCGTAGTCGGTGGCTAGGCGCTTGCCGCTCGCCAGCGGGCGCAGCCTGTCATGGTGCACCGCGGTGACGCACGTGCCGTCGTACACCACGGCGCGTGCCGACTCTGCATAGTTGCCGAAGACGCCGTCGCCCCGCTGGTACGGGTTGGTGTCCGGATCGTGCGCCCGCGTCGGGTCCCTGCAGCCGAGCCTCACCTCCATGACCTTTGCCGAGGCGCCGAAGGCGCGGGCGACGTTCGTGACGTGAGTGTTGAGGGATGCGTGCCCCGTGGCCAACCAGCCGCCGTAGTTGCATCCGTCCCAGTGCGTGCCGCTGAGGTGCTCGAAGAGCGACAGCGTGCGCGATTATTTTATTCTTCCCTCGCGGCTCCACCGACGACTGCCTTCGCCGACCTGCCGCCTGGACGCTGTTTCATGCGCACCCTCGTCAGCACGGCCGCGCTCACGACTGCTGCCGTGGGTCGCTCCACGATCCCGTCCGCCGGCGCGCTCAAGCCGTGGGGCGCGAGCGAGCGCGACGAGTGGCGGACCTCTCGCAAGGTCGTCCGCTCCTACCGCGAGGAGGTGCTGACCAAGCTCGAGCCGCTGGCGGAGCGGTGGGAGGTCGAGAAGTACGGCGCGCTCTCACAGGACCCGGAGCGCTTCCCGCTCTACTCGGTCCGCAGTCGCCGCTGGGAGGCGAGCCGTCCGAGCGTGCTCATCACGGGAGGAGTGCACGGCTACGAGACGTCGGGCGTGCAGGGCGCACTGCTCTTCCTCCAGAGCGCGGCCGCCGCGTACAGCGAGAGCTTCAACCTGCTCGTCGTCCCGTGCGTGGGCTTGGGGCCGCTGGGACATGCTGTCCAGGACTGGTGTTAAATTGACACGCCCGAGACTTGTCCCCAGGTGCGTCAGCCCGCGGGCCGCCGGGACATGTGCACGACACGTCCGTGACACGTCCCTCGTCCACAGGTGCGTGAGGCCGCTGGAAGATGTTCAGGACACACGTCCGTGACATGTCCGAGAGATGTCCCCAGGTGCGTCAGCCCGTGGGGCTACGAGACGATCCAGCGCTGGAACGCGCAGGCGGGCGCGATCCAGAGCCGTCGCGCTGTAGCCACTCACCTCTCCTCTGTACTCACTGCAGTCGGCCAGCGCATTAGTTCGGACACTCACAGTTCGCGCGCTGTGGAATGGCGGGGAATAGCGCGCAGGGGTGGAACCGCACGCGAGGGGCGGCGCGGCCTGGCGCAGGGCGCAGTTCACGCGTCCCGTTTGCCGCGTGCGCCACCGCAGGCGGTCGACCCGAACCGCAGCTTCAACCCGCGGGGCGAGGTTGTGGCCGGCCGGTCCTTCAACCCCGAGGCGCGCCGCATGCTGCACGGGGGACGCCGGCTCTCTCTTATTGCTCATGACTAACTCCTGACACATTGGTGCCTCGAGGCGGCCAATCGAGGAGGTCTGCCACGGAGTCCGTGGCAACGGAGTCGGCTGACGCCGCGGCGGCCCCTTCCCTCAGGCGGCCTCGCGCCTACAAAAGAAAGACTAACGCGGGCCGCTTTCTTGTTTAGGTGCCCCCTTCCCTCAGGCGGCCACGGAGGAGTCTGCGGCCCTTCTCTCGCACCTCGAGGCGCTCGGAGGAAGGGACGGCCGATTCCTGTGCGCCACGTCGCCCTGCCGAGAGTTGGGCGTGTCGCTACTCCGAGAGATGGTTGGTGCTGGCTGGCGTTCTCAGGCGCCGCACAACCCGCCGACCAGCGTCTGTTGTTCGGTGGCATAGGGTGTGTGACACGCCTCGTCGCCACCACTCGTCCCAGGTGCCACATCGACTTGCACGAGACGACGGACACCGATGAGTCCGAGTTCCGACCGGCTAAGGCGACGCCTCCTTGTCTCTCTCTCTCGGCCCTCTCCCGGCCGTCTCTCGGCCATCTCTAGGCGATCTCCCGGCCATCTCTCGGCTGCATCTCGGCTATAGCCAGGCATCAGTGAATCTGAATCTGAATCTGAATCTCGGCGCACGCTCCCTCGCACAGGCGGCGCGCGACGGCGTCGCATTTGAGCCCGGCAACCCCCCCCCCCCCCCTCCACCACCACCACCACCCCTCCCCCCACCCCCTGGCCGGCCTCTGAGTCGCCCTCTCGCCTCCCCACCCGACCCTCTCCCGCACCTTCCGACAGGTACCATTCCAGACGGGTTCTACCTCGTCGCCGACGTGACCAGCCCGCGCCTCCCCACGCAGGCCCGGGCCCTTCCCCTGGACCCTTCCCCTGGACCCTTCCCTGGCCCTTTCGCGAAGGTGACCAACCCGCGGCTCGACTGGCACGCCGCCATCATCGACGCCGTGCGGCGGCGGACGCACGCTCGCGCTGAGGTGCGAGCAGCGCCTCGTCACACCTCGAGCCGTGAACAGGTGGTCACGCACCAGACGTACTAGTACGACGAGGCATGAGCAGCGCCTCGTCACACCTCGAGCCGTGAACAGGTGAGGCGGGTGACGCACATCGCGCCCGCCGACCCGGACGGCACAATCATCGGCGAGCCGGTGCTCCAGGAGGGCGTGATTGGCATCCCTTCGCCGCGCAGCCTCGGCCTCTGCGCCGGCGCGACCCGCCCGCCGTACCCACGACGCGTCCACGACACACACACGACACTCCCACGACACGCACACAACACTCCCACGACACTCCCACAACACGCCCACAACACACTTCACGACACGCCCACAACACGCCCACAACACTCCCACGACACTCCCACGACACTCCCACGACACGCCCACGACACGCCCACGACGCGTCCACGACGCGTCCACGACACGCCCACGACGCGTCCAGACGTGCCCGTGCGAAACGCGTCGTGCAGGGGTGACCGACGCGCCGTACGCGACGACGACGGAGGTGTGCTGCCACCGACTCTGCCGGAGGCGGACCCGGTGACACGTCCGGCCACACGTCCACCACATGTCGGCGACACGCCCCGCAGGTGTACCCCGACTCTCCGAAGGCGGACGCCGACATCTGCAACCGCGCGCAGGTCGCCGCCATCACCTCCGCCCTCGACTTCCTCCTGGCGGAGCGCCGCGCCGGCGGCGGCGCGGGAGGGGCGGCGGCGAAGGCTGAGCTTTAGGCGCAGGGTGGGCGGTAAGTCGCTCTCTCCGTACATGTCTAGTGGCAGCCAGCACGCAGCAGCTTTATTATTTCAGTTTTGGAGATTAGTTTGGGCGAGCGCGCGGGCGTATTTGCAGGCAGCGCAAAAACACATTCACATACGGGCTAGGACGGGCTTGTTCTCTGCCTTCGATCCAGAGGATCGGCTCTCGCGAGACCTCCCTTGTAAAAAAGTAGAATTAGACACAGAAGAGCACACAACCACACATGGGCTCAGAGCCTCAGGGGGTTGGGGCGCCTCCTCATTGCTCATATCGCACTACACGTTTGCAACCTCTAGCAAGACGCGCACGGCCGCCTCCACTCCCCCCGCCCGCTCCAGCCCAGCCGCAACGGCCTTGGCCTTTGAGGCGTACTCGCCACCCAGCACCTCCTCCACCGCCCGCCTGACGGCGGCTTGGTAGCTCGACACGACCGCAGCCTCCTCTTCGGCCTCTGCGCCGTCCGCCAGTGCCGCCGGCCGGTCCACAGCGACGCCCCATCCTTGCGCCACCACCTTGGCCGCGTTGGTCACCTGATCGCCAAAGCCAGGGCAGACCACCACTGGCGTGCCAACAGCCGCGCTCTCCATGAGCGAGTTTTGCCCGCCGTTCGTGACAAAGAGCACCGGGCGAGCCTTGCGCAGCAAGTCAACCTAGGCATCGCTTGCGGTGTAAAAGCGTCTCTTCACGCCTCTAGCAACACACGGTCTTGTCGAGGTCCACCTGCGGCCACGAGCTGGCGCTGAGCGAGTTGCTGGGTACGTCGATGCCCTCAAAGGCAGCCGGCTGTGGGCCTGCGCGCCGTGGAAAGTGGACACATGGACATGGACATGGCATACAGAATGGACATGGAAGGACTGACAAGTGCGTGGCCTTGCGACACGACGATGAGGGGCGACGCGGCGCCATTTTGAGGGCCGTTGGGACCCAGCGCCTCGAATACGGCGCGGTAGACCGCCTGATGTAGCAATCCCGTCACACTCGTTGCTACGTCACGAACACCGCGCCTCTCTTGCCGCGCTGCAGCTCGCCTGGCAGAGCTGCCGCCCGGTGATGGCGCTGCCGCTCGTCGCGGTCCAGCCGTGGCTCTCATCGTCCGAGGTGACGACAGTGCCCAGGGACACGTAGACGATCATGCGCGCGGCGGTCGTAGCCTAAAAGCAGCAGCGTGAACCTGTACTTTTTCGTGTGACTTTGCAACAGGCACGACCCTGATTCTGCCGCCTCCGCCACGCGCGCCATCAGCGCCTCCGTGGCTGGTGGGGAGGAGTCGGCCTCCGAGCCGCCTGCGTGAAGCATCCCTCCAGCCCGCTTTGCGCCGGCAACGTCCAGCAGGGGGCCCACGTACACAAACTTCTTTCCAACCTTGCTGTAGTACTCCTCGTCGCGTTTGCTCACCGGGTCGGCCAGCTCGGGCGTTGTCGTGACGAGGTTCGTCGCCGCATAGTAGTCGCAGATGAGCGGCAGGCCAGTCTCGGTGTTCAGCGTGAGCTCTGGCAACCCCATCTCCGCCTTGAGCGCCTCCACTGCCTTGAGGTTGGGCTCACTCCCCTTAATAGCAGCGATCAGCGCATCCGAGGATGGCGCTCCTGGCGTCGAGGCGATGGCGGCGTCGAAGAATCCCGGCCCGGCGGCCGTCAGGAGAGAGACGTCGGGGATGGCAAGCTTGACGCTGGCAAAGTGAGCGACCTACCGGGCCGGACCCATCTTTCCGCGTGCAGCCGCCTCTTATTGAGCTCGGGCTTGCGCTAGCCTGCGACAGCACTGGGCAGTAGACGACGAGGTCTGGACCGCGAGATTGCAGCCAGCGGACGTACGCCGGCAGGAGCCGCTGCGCGGCGATGCTTCCAAAGTTGAGCGCCCAGGGAGCCGCGGCGCCGTACTCGGTGAGCGTCGCCTTTCGATGCAGCATGCTGCGCGTTTACCACGAGAGTCCATGCCAGTAAAATTGGATCTCGAGACCTCGAGAGAAGGCCGCCCGCAGTGCCCAAGTCAAGAGTTTTAGGTTTGTTGTTGGCAAATCAAGACACAGAGCTCACACAGGATCACAGTGTGGTAAAAGCCGTTTTTCTTTTTTCGGCCGCTCGCCTGGGCTCCGCCGACGAGCTTCATACTCCTCGACACTCATAAACGGTTTATTTTTTCCTTGGCCCGCGCCTAACATTCGCGGCCCTCTCGCATGATCATCAACCCGAACCACCAGCATCTGAATGAGTCGACTGAGGACCTCGACGGCACGGAGCTAGCCACCGCCGCCGCGGCTGCGCTGAGCGGGCAGCGCACATCGGTCGACTCGCCTCCCGCCGCTGACGGCCCAGATCCGCCTCGCAACCCGCGGCCGCCTACCGACATGCGGTGCCCGTTGCCACCGTTCCCTCCTTCTCTTTCTGTTTGCATGTCCGACCCCCGTGCGCGTGCGCGTGTAGGGCCCAGTCCTTCAACGACGACCTGCTGCCCGAGCGGAGGAGAGAGATGACCGGCGCGCCTGCGGACGCGAGGACACGGCCGCGCCGCCGACCGACGCCGGCGAGCCTGGGCAACGTGTACGAGAAGCGGTACCACGAGACGGTCATCTCGGTGGCGATCTCGGCGGACGACAGCTTTTTCGCCGCGGGAGGAGCCGGCCGCAAGGCGATGGTCTGGCGCGTCGAGGACGGCGAGCTGTTCGCCTCGTTCGAGACGCGCGACACGATCACCTCGATCGCCTTTGTGGGCGACGCGCTGCTGGCGGGCACCTTTGACAAGCGGCTGCATGGCTTCTCGCTGCGCATCAGCGCCGCGAGCGAGCAGGGCGGCGCCGGCGAGCGGTCTCTCTTCAACCAAGAGCTGTTCAGCGAGTCCTTCCCAGGCCAGGTCACCGCCATCTCCTGCGCCACCGACTCCGCCGACCGAGGCAGCGAGAGCGCGCTCATTGCCGTCGGAGGCACCGACCGCAACGTGATCCTGTACACCACCCGCGCCGCCGCCACGCCGAAAGAGCCCCCCGAGTACGCCGCCGCCAGCGGCGGCGGCGGCGGCGGCGGCAGTGGCAGCGGCGGCAGTGGCAGCGGAGGCGGCGGAGGAGGCGGCGGCTTCGGCGCGCGTGGTCGCGCGCCGCCGCTCCCTTTCCCCCTCGATCTGCCGGCGCGGGGGCAGGGGCGTCTTCCTGGCGGGCTCGAGGTGTGAAGAGACGCTGTTCACACCTCCTAGGCGCGGGGGCAGGGGCGTCTTCCTGGCGGGCTCGAGGTCGCGGCGCGTATCAAGGCGAGATTACCCGAGATTGCCCGAGGTTGCCCGAGATTGCCCGAGGTTGCCCGAGATTGCTCGCGGCGCGCATCAAGGCGCGCAAGAGACGGCGTGTGTTGGTCCACCGGTCCACCCTCCCTGCACACTGAACAGGCGCAAGGCGACGTGCTCGCGGTGGCGCTCTCCTCGTCTGGCTCGCTGCTCGCCATCGGAGGGGAGTGTGCTGCCCACGTGTTTTTCTTTTTAGCGGGCTGTTTTCTTTTCCCTAGGCTCGCTGCTCGCCATCGGAGGGGAGTGTACTGCGCACGTGTTTTTCTTTTTTAGCCACCGTTCTCTTTTCCCTAGGCTCGCTGCTCGCCATCGGAGGGGAGTGGAACCTGGCGGAGGTGCACGCGCTGACCCCGCTCGAGAGCCGGCAGATCGCGACCTTTCGCTTGCGCGCCATCGACGTGGGCGGGGTGGTGCACTCGCTGGCCTTTGCGCCGTTCGCCGACAGCGCCGGCCCCGCCTCGGGCTTCTCGCCGCCTCCCTCCCCCGCCCCCTTTTCGGTGTGGGGCTCGCTGCACTCCCGCCCGCCGCCCGCCGCCGCCGCCGCCCCCGACCTACTCCGCCTCGCCATCGGCTCGTCCGACGCGACGCACACGTGGAGAATCCAAGTCGGCAGAGCTGTGAACAGCGTCTCTTCACACCTCTTGCTGTGAGCAGGCACACGTGGAGAATCCAAGTCGGCGCGCAGGCACGCGCCGCTATCGACGCCGGCGCGCGCAACTCGGCCGCCGACGCCGCCGCGCGCCGGCCGAGGACGCCGCCGCCGAGCCCGCCGAAGCAGCGGCGGGCGCGGAGACGCGGAGGCGACGCAGGCGCGCCTCACTTCGAGCCTCTCCTCACGACGCCGCACACGGCGAGGCAGGGCGGCGTCGCCTTCTCCGGCGACGGCGAGACGCTCGCCATCGCCGGCGAGCATGCCGTCACGCTGCTCGACTGTCATTATTATTATTATTATTATTGTTATTATTATTATTATTAGGCGAGCACGCCGTCACGCTGCTCGACTACTACTACTACTACTACTACTACTACTACTACTACTATTATTAGGCGAGCACGCCGTCACGCTGCTCGACTCGGACACGGGCGCGACGGTGCGGCAGGCAAAGCACCGGCGCAGGCTGCGCTGCGTCGCCCTCTCGTCGGACGGCGGGCTACCCTAGAGGACCCGAGATGACCCGAGATGGCCCGAGAGGACCCGAGATGGCCCGAGATGACCCGAGATGACCCGAGATGCGCCCTCCCGTCGGACGGCGGGCTGCTCGATATCTCCCCACATCTCCCCACATCTCCCCACATCTCCCCACATCTCCCCATATGCCCTCTCGTCGGACGGCGGGCTGCGGGTGTGGCTATCGCGGCGGTTTCGGCCAGCCCTGAGTGAGTCAGACGCCGACTAGGCGGGCTGCTGCTCGTGGGGGGCGAACCCTCCCCTACCCTCACATGAACAAATCCCCCCAGGCGGGCTGCTGCTCGTGGGAGGCTTCGACCAGCTCGTCCGCATGTACCCGGTGCAGACGCGCACCGACGATGAGCCAATGAGTCATGGACTGGTCGGTACACGACCATCAGTCATCAACAGGTGCGGGCGGGCACCGACTTTGTGGTCTACAAGGGCCTCTCCACGAGCGGGGGAGGGGGCGTCGGCGCGAGCTTGGGCGGCTCCTCCTCGCTCACCTCCTTTGTTGGCGGCGGCGGCGGCCCGCGCGGCACCGTTTACCTCGAGGCGATGGCCGTGGCTCTGTCCGCGTGCAGCTCGCTTGTGGTGCTGGCCGGAGGGCTTAAGGGCGGCGACATCGGCTATGTCTCCGTCTTCGACGCGCGGGCCGACGGGCCGGTCTGCTCCCCCGAGTAAGCAGCCGTGAATGAGCCGAATGAATGCACTGAGCAGGCGCGGACGGACGAGCTGGTCTGCTCCTTGCGCGCCACCAAGCAGGTGCGCGTCGCGACGTTCTCTGCGGACGGCCGCTTCCTCGCCTTCGGCGGCTTCGACGAGCGAGTCACCATCATCACACACCTGCCGGTCCGAGGCCGCGACGGGGAGATCGAGCGGCTCTCGCTGCACGAGCTGACGGCGCGGCTCTCCGGCGCCGCGAGGGGAGGCGACGCGTCGGAGCCCCCTGCTATGACTCGCGTCGCCCCCTCACTAGTGGTTGGCTAACAGGCGACGCGTCGGAGCCCCCCTCGCCCGACGGCGACGGCGCGGCGCGCTCTCCCGCGACGCGGAAGAGCGCGCCCACCGTCATCAGCGGCTCCCCGCCCGCCCTCGGCCGAGACTCGTCCGACTTCAGCGCGCCCCTCCGCCTCTACCGCGCGTCCTCAGTGAATGAGTGAATTAGTGAATGAATTAATTAATCAATAGGCGCGCCCCTCCGCCTCTACCGCGCGTCGCTCGCCGACGGCAGCGACGCCGCCCGCCCGTCCGACGAGGCGGGAGATGCCTCGAGATAGCGCGCGAGATTCGTCGAGATAGCGCGCGAGATGACTCGAGATAGCGCGCGAGATGACTCGAGATAGCGCGCGAGATTCCTCGAGATCACCGGCGAGATTCCTCGGGATTGCGGCGAGCGACGAGCTTCGCGCCCCCCCAGGCGGCCAGCGATGAGCATCTACCCTCGAGGAATCTCGCCGGTAATCTCGAGGAATCTCGTCGCTCGGTAGGCGGCCAGCGATGAGCAGGTGTCGCCCAAGAGCTGCGCCGCGCCCGCCTCGCTGCGGCCAACCACGGCGTCGCTCCCCCGCTCGCCGCTAAACCGCGCGCCGTCGCTGCTCGCGCCCCTAGAAGCGAAGCGCGTATTCCAACTAGCAACTGGCGAGAGGGCAGCGATTCCGCTGCATTCGGCCGTCCCCCGCTGCACTCGCTGTGTCTGTGTCGCTCGTAGCGTCACACCGTCGCTCGTTCGACTCTCCAGTACCGCCCCCCGGCCGGCGAGGATTTCCTCGGCACACTCAGGCTTGCGCCGGCCAAGGAGCCCCCGCCCGACTTGCCGGCCGCCGAGGAGTGCTCGCGCACGCTCGACTTCAGCGCGTCCGCCCGCCGCCCCGCCTTCATCTGGTCGCTCAGCTTCTCGGGCAGCAGGCCGAGACACTTCCGAGACACGTCCGAGACACTTCCGAGACACGTCCGAGACACTTCCTAGACGCGTCCGAGACACGTCCGAGACACGTCCGAGACACGTCCGAGACACTTCCGAGACACGTCCCACACGCAAGAGCCTCCGTGTAGGCGCCGCCGCTCGGCCGACGCCGGGGAAGGAAGCGACGAAGACGAGTCCGGCCGCGACGGGCCGTCCGCTTTCGCTGTCGCTTCGTGGGACGGCTCCGCACACATCTACCACGTCTCCAAGGAGGGGACCTTCTCGCTCGCTTGCCGCATCGGCCGGTCGGACCGCGTGTACTGCGTCTCCCTCTCGGTGAGCGGCGGAATCGGCTGTGATCTCGGGGGATCTCCGGTGATCTCGGGGGATCTCGGCTGTGATCTCGGGGGATCTCGGCGGATCTCGGCTGTGATCTCGGCTGTGATCTCGGCTGTGATCTCGGGTGTGGTCTCGGCTGTGATCTCGGGTGTGATCTCGGGTGTGAGCTCGGGTGTGATCTCGGCTGTGATCTCGGGTGTGATCTCGGGTGATCTCGGGTGTGAGCTCGGGTGTGAGCTCGGCAGGTGAGCGGCGGCCTCGTCGCTGTCGGAGGCCGCGACTCTGCCATCGGGCTGTACGACATCCGGCCGGATCGCCGCCCGCCCTCGCGCGGCGGTCTGGCGGGGCTGCGCGAGCCGTCGCTGTCGGACTCCTTCTCGCCGTCCGCCGGCTGCGCGCCCTCGGGAGGCACGGGTCGCGGGGCGGGCGCGGCGGGCCGCGGTTCGTCTCTCGGCGCGGACGAGCTGGAGCCGCTCTGGCTGGCGCAGTGCAACGAGTTTGTGTGCGCACGCTCTCGCCTATGGGTTCGGGTACTGTGGGGGGAGGGTAAGCCACGCATTCGTGTGCCCACAGGTACGCGTGCGCGCTCTCGCACGAGGCGACCGCGCCGCGCTTCTGCGTGCACGGCGGGCCGGACAAGCAGCTGACCGTGCGTGACGCGTCCACCGGCCGCGTGCTGCACGAGCTCCCCATCGGAGGGACGGTGTGGTGCCTGTCGATTGGCCCCGCGAACCGGTGCGCGGTGTCGGGCGAGTTCCAGCTGGTGCAGGTCGTCGACCTCGAGAGCGCTGGCCTCGTCCTCTCGCTGCCCCACACGGGCGAGAACCCGTCCTACTCGGTGGCGCTGACAGAGTCGGCGGTCATCTACACGCAGGAGAACACGTGCGTCCGCTACGGGAGAGACGGCTCGACGTACGGCTGGGGCGACCCTTCCTAGACACCTCCTAGACACCTCCCAGACACCTCCTAGACACCTCCTGGACACCTCCCAGACACCTCCTAGACACCTCCTAGACACCTCCCAGACACCTCCTAGACACCTCCTAGACACCTCCCAGACACCTCCTAGACACCTCCTAGACACCTCCTACTAGACACTTCCTAGAGACGGCTCGACGTACGGCTGGGGCGACTTGCCCTTCCGCGGCGCCGGCCAGTTGGTCAGGGGTGAATGGACGCATGCATGCATGGTCAACTAGGTGACTTGCCCTCGTACGCGGCGCTAGCCAAGCTCGTCCGCATGCCGATGGCCAAGAACATCCACGCGGGGTGGGCGGCGCCGTCACCCTACCCCCACAGTACCCAGCCCCAGTCACCCGACCCCCGCAGTACCCGTACCAAGGTGGGCGTCGCTCCGCTCGCTCGCGCTGCTGCAGCCGTGGCTGATCAACTGCCGCGAGCAGAGCAGCGGAGCAACCTTCCTCCAGCTCGCAGTCACGCACGGCGTGGACGGGGCGATGCTGGACACTCTGCTGGCCGAGGCGAGAGGACCCGAGAGGGCGCGAGATTGCGCGAGATTGCGCGAGATGAGCCGAGATGCTGGACACGCTGCTGGCCGAGGCGAGAGGACCCGAGAGGGCGCGAGATTGCGCGAGATTGCGCGAGAGGAGCCGAGAGGAGCCGAGATGCGCCGAGACGCTGCCTCGCCTCACCGAGATTGTGCGAGATCACCGAGATTGTGCGAGATGGCAGGTGCCGATCATCGGGCTGCTGCGCGCGCACCACCCGGAGCGAGTCGGGGGCGGCGCGGCCTCAGCTTGGCACGCGGCGCTCGACCAGCGGTCCGACATCTGGGTGTCGCGCCTCGTGCAGGCGGTGGTGAGCTGTGGACGGCGTCTCTTCACGGCGGTGGTGTGAACAGGTGTCGCGCCTCGTGCAGGCGGTGGTGAGCTGTGGACGGCGTCTCTTCACGGCGGTGGTGTGAACAGGTGTCGCGCCTCGTGCAGGCGGTGGTGAGCTGTGGACGGCGTCTCTTCACGGCGGTGGTGTGAACAGGTGTCGCGCCTCGTGCAGGCGGTGGTGAGCGGGCGGGTGTACGCCACGCCCGCCGCCATGTCTCCCATCGCAGAGACGTTTGGCGCGCTCGCGCGGAAGTTCCCGCGGCAGTACCTCCGCCTCCTCTCGGAGATGCCTCTGGCCTTCGAGGACTCGTGCAGGCTCCGCTCGCCGCACACGCGCCGGCTGCAGGTCGAGGTCTGCGGCTCGCGCAGGTTTCTGCTCGACGGGTGGTGGGAGGACCACTACGCCGCCTCGGGGCTCAACTTTGGCTTCTCGCCGCGCGCGCTGCTCGCCTGGGCGCACTCATGGACCGCCGCACCTAGAAGAAGAAGAGCGTCACAGCCCACCCAGTAGCAGACGGAGGCGGGCTCCTCACCGTCCAGCCTGCTCGGCGGTCTCCAGCCGTAGCCACTGCACTCGCCTCCCTCCCAGCCACTTGGCGCTCTGAAGGCTTACGCTGCACAGCGCCGTCTCCCCCGCCCCCGAGGCCGGTGTCTTCAGCTCGTAGGATCGCGGAGCCGGACAAGCTTCGCCGCCGCACGATCTATGCCGACGGCGGGCTCCGCGCAGGCAACTCTGGCCGCGGGGAGCGGCGGCGTGAACAGCGTCTCTTCACACCCCCTGCTGTGGATAGGCAACTCTGGCCGCGGGGAGCAGTGGTGGTCGGTGGAGGCCCTCGTCTGCTCGCTGCTGGTGCGGCTGCGCGACTGCTGGGTCGCGTGTTGCTGCGCAGTTTGCCGCCGCTGCTGCGAGGAGGAGGAGGCGGCCGATTCGCCCGGAGGGCAGCGGGGGGGCGGCGGGGGCAGAGGCGGAGGCTTGCGCACGACGGGCGGAGCTAGCGCGGGGCAGTACAGGCGCGGGCCCGTGGAGGGGCGGGGGGAGAGGGCAATCTCGTGCAATCTCGGGCAATCTCGGGCAATCTCGGGCAATCTCGAGTCCTCTCGCTTGCGGTGCCGCCCAGGCCTGTGGAGGGCGGCGCCGCCTCCTCGCCGCACCACAAGGTTGGAAGCCTCTTCCGCTCGCTCGCGCTGCTGCAGGGCGCCGTCGACCAGCAGAGGCGCCCGCCCGCCCCGCAGAGATCCCCCCTCCCCCCAGATCTCCCAAGCAGAGGCGCCCGCCAGCACACACCGCATACACCACACACACCGCACACCACACACCACACACAGCACACACCAAAGATGCGCCACCGCAGTGCCACCCTCCCACACCGCCCGAGGCGGCGCGGCACCGCCGAACAGGCCCTCCCCGTTACCCCACACATCCCGAGATTACCCGAGATTACCCCAAGAGTACCCCAGAGTACCAGTGGCGACACGAGAGTGTGCACCGGCCGCCAGGCTCTCCCCGAGATCACCCGAGATGACCCGAGATGACCCGAGATGACCCCAGAGGACACGAGAGGACACCAGATGGCCCGAGAGGACCCGAGAGTGCCAGCACCGGCCGCCAGGTCCGGCTACGCCGTGCTCACCGAGTCAACCCCCCCTCCCTCCTCCCGGAGACGCAAGCGCGGCGCCGACGGCACCACCACGCACGAGCGCAAGGGGGGCCGCTCGCCGCCCCTCCTCTCGCGTGACGCCTCCGCCGTCTCCGACCCCGCCTCCGCCTCCTCCAACGCCTCGGCCGCCGAGATGGCGGCCGTGGCGCGCGTGCAGCAGGTTCCCCTTCTGCCCGCCCCCACCCTCGTCGTCGTCGTCGACGGCGTGGTCGGCGCGACTGCTCCTCTTGTCGCGTGGACGCAGGTCCCCTTTTGTGAGTTTGCCATATCTCCCCATATCTCCCCATATCTCCCGCAGGTCCCCTTTTGTGAGTTTGCCGGCTTCGCCACCAACCACCTCGCACTCATCGTCGACGCGTCCATCGCCACCGGCGACATGCATGAGACACTTCCTAGACACTTCCTAGACACCTCCTAGACACTTCCTAGACACCGGCGACATGAGACTACCCGATATTCCACGAGATTACCCGAGATCCATCGCGACCGGCGACATGCATCGCCTTCAAGCCGCCGTCGGGAGGCAGTGAGGGGTAGACAGTGAGGGTTGGAGACAGGCGACCGCACCGTCTTTAGACATTGAGCAGTGAGGGGTAGACAGTGAGGGTTGGAGACAGGCGACCGCACCGTCTTCAAGTCGCCGTCGGTCGAGGCCCTCCTCCACTTCAAGTGGCGCGCCTTCGGCTCCGTCATCTGGCGGCTGCACGCGCGCGGGACACGTCCACGACATGTCCACGACACGTCCCCCAGGCGCGCCTTCGGCTCCGTCCTCTGGCGGCTGCACGCGCGCGGGACACGTCCACGACATGTCCACGACACGTCCCCCAGGCGCGCCTTCGGCTCCGTCATCTGGTGGCTGCACACGGCGCTCTGGCTCTCGTACACGCTCGCGACCGCCGTCTTTGCGTACGCCGCGACGTACTACTTCACAGACTCGCAGTCGGCATGGAAGGAGACCCGCGTCTCGCCCCCGCCCGCGCCCCGCTCCGCCAACGGAGCGGTGTGGCTCACCCCGTCCCTCCCCGGCGGGTAGGCGATGCCTTTCTCGTTCCGCGCCCCGTACGACTACTTCATGGACGAGGACGCCCCACTGATGGACGAGCTGCAGGACTGCGCCAAGAAGTTTGGCTTCCCGCTTCTTCCCAAGCCGCCGGGCGGCCAGCGGACGGAGCGCGCCCCGAGACACTTCCTAGACACCTCCTAGGCACCTCCTAGACACCTCCTAGACACCTCCTAGACACCTCCTAGACACCTCCTAGACACCTCCCAGACACCTCCTAGACACCTCCCAGACACCTCCCAGACACCTCCCAGACACCTCCGAGACACCTCCTAGACACCTCCTAGACACCTCCCAGACACCTCCTAGACACCTCCTACTAGACACTTCCCAAGCCGCCGGGGCGGGCAGCGGACGGAGCGCACCCTAGCGGTATATCTCCCCATATCTCCCCAGATCTCGGGCCCTAGAAGCGGAACGCGCATTCTCGTACTGCAACCAGCGCTTCGAGAGGACACGCACTCCGCCGTACTCGGCCGTGTTCCGAGGTTGGCGTCCTCAGCACGTAGGCTGCCCATATCTCCCCATATCTCCCCATATCTCCCCATATCTCCCCATATCTCCCCATATCTCCCGCCCCGAGGCTGGCGGACTCAGCACGTAGGCTGCCCATATCTCCCCACATCTCCCCATATCTCCCCATGTAGGCGCGCGACCACTGCGTCTTCTACCTCATCCTCGCCCTCGTCTCCTCGCTGACCTCGCTCGCCCTCGGCGCCGTCGTCGTCTTCATCAGCACGGCTGTTAGTTCGCAAGGGTCAGCTGTTCTGGGTCTCGCAGGCGTCGTCTTCTTCTTCATCAACACGATGTACATCGTCGTGTCGGTGCGCGAGGGCAAGACGCACCTCTCCTACCAGTACGCGACCAAGGCGGCTTGATGAGAGATGGGGAGAGATGGGGAGATGTGCACCTCTCCTACCGGTGCCAGTACGCGACCGAGGCGGCTTGATGAGGGGGTTAGTGGGGGGGAGGAGGGATCGGCCACCGAGGCCGAGAGACGAGCCCTGCCGTGTGCGACCAGGCGGCCGTCATCCGCTTCTTCTACGTGGTGATGCAGCTGCTGGGCCTCGCCGTGGTCCATTTCGGCGCCTCCATGGACCAGGGGCTGCTCGGCCCCGAGGTCACACGCATGCTGCTCGCGATTGGGATGGGGCTGCAGTGGGTGGAGCCGATCCGCATCCTCACGCGCCACCCCGAGTTGACGAAGCAGTTGATTCGTTTCATGACGAGTGAACTAGGTGGAGCTGATCCGCATCCTCACGCGCCACCCCGAGTTCGGCGAGCTGTACCAGATGGCGAGAAGCGCCCTTCTCGCAGAGACGCCCCTCGCGGCCGGCGGTGAGCGCCGTCTGGCGGGGTAGGTGATCGAGACCTTCTCGCAGACGCGGTACTTCATCTACTTCATGCTGATGGTGACGTGCATGGGCTCGCTCACGCTCGGGCTGCTGCTCTTCGACGTGCACACCGTCATCGACTACCCGCCCGACATGGACTACTCGTCCGAGATGCTGCTGCTCGACGAAAAGTACGAGCAGACCGCGACGGGCACCATCGACCTGTGGTACAACTTTGGCGACATCTTCCGCTCGTTCCACTCGACGATCGACATCTTCTTCTTCGGCACCAAGAGCGACGCCGTCGAGTCCGCCCTCCTCGAGGTGCCCCCGCGCATACCTCCCCCATATCTCCCCCTCTCTCATGGTCCGCCCTCTCCTCGAGGTGCATATCTCCCCATATCTCCCCACATCTCGTGGTCCGCCCTCTCCTCGAGGTGCTGCCCGCGCGCTACATCGCGATGGGCCTCCAGATCTTCAGCCAGGTCGTGCTGCTCAACCTGCTGATCGCAAAGATCAACGACGCCTACGCAAAGATCAAGGCGCCGTCGCCCGTCGGACTGTTCTTACTGTTCTCGGCGTCTCACCCTGTTCTGTCGTTCTCGCAGGCGTCGTCGCTCCTCTCCTCCAACTTCCAGCAGGCGCTCATCCTCATCGAGTACGAGATCATCGCCCAGGCCCTCTTCTCCACCCGCGGCGGCCGCTGGCCGCGCTGGCTGCACATCTGCATGCCGCCGGCCGAGCCGCCCGAGCGGGACCGGATCACCGACCTGCACGAGGAGCTGCAGACGGTGCGCGAGGCGAACGCGCGCCTCGAGGCGGCGCTCGAGGCGATCGCGGCGGGGCAGGCGACGCAGGAGGCGTCGATGCGGCGGCTCGAGGCGCTCGTCCGGGCGGCGGCGGAAAGCTAGTAGGAGGCGGCGAGGCGAGCCCGGGCGAGGGAGTTCTCAGTTCAGGCTTCAGGGGCCCGTGGGCGACAGATCTGCAACGGTGAACGGGGATTGACGTTCGTCCTTCTGCGTTTCGTTCTTTCCGTGGGCAATCTGGTAGACGTATCTCTCTGTTTTTTACTCTGTCGTGGCACACGAAGAGGAGTACTCTCCCGAGCTCACAAATCGGGCCGATAGTCATATAAAAAAGCGGCCGTCGAGTGAATTGGGCAGACATTGGTAGGGCAGAGTGCGAGCCGCCGTGGTTTCGTGTGCGCCGTGTGGCGCCCCGCACACGGGCTGCGCGCTGGCGCTGTCCAATTTGTGGATCCATACGATACCTCACGTTATCAAACCTTCTGCACAACGTCGCAACCCTATTGATGTCGTGAGACGTGACGTGTGCGACTGCGCCGTGGCCGCGGCGCCTGGCCGGGGTGGCCCGACGGAGGTCATGATGCGCTCCCCGCCTCTCCGCTCCGCGCTCCGCCTCCGCGGGGGTCCCTGCCGGCTCCCCGTTGCACTAACTACAGAATATTACCCCCCCCCCCCCCCTCTCCCCCCCTTCACGCCCCCTCGCGCCCCTTGCCATCCCCTAGAGAGTAGTGGAGTTGGGTGAGCAACCTGGAGATATGTGCGAGGTATCGAGCGCGCATTCCAACAACACGGGCCCGCCCAGGATAGTCGGGGTGACGGGATGTCGAGTGGAGGCGGGGGGGGGCACAGCGACCTAGTGAGCAGCACCCTTGACGCGGGATACTTGGACTCGGTGCCGCGAGGATGACCAAACGAGAGGTCACAGAGGGCCAGCTTAAAAGCCCGGGACGAACTGGGCGAGGTAGCCCTTGGCGACGCTAACGACGTTGGCCTTGGCATCCTCCTTCGCGTCGCTCGCCGCTCCCTCGGCCTTCTCGAATGCGGCTGCCGCGTACTGCTGGCCGCGCGTCCCGCCGTGCTCCTTTGCCATTTGCAGGGCCTTGTCTTTGCCGCGCAGGTAGCCGCTCTTGCTCAGGCGGCTCACCTCCTCGGTGTCCACCGTGTGCTCGTACAGCTCCGGGTGCGTCCTGACGTTCCAGGTCACGTCGCTGACCGTGCCTGTGCCGCTCTTGCGGCGCGGGCACGAGTGCATGTGCTTGACCGTCCCCGCGGCTTTCTTCTCCTTCACCTCCTCCTCCTCCTCCTCCTGCTCCTCCTCCTTGGTCGGCTTGGCCGCCTTCTTCATTCCCTCTTCCATCTTGTCCATGAGCTCCTCTCCCTTAGGCAACATCTCGCGGACTGAGTCGCCGACGGACTCCACCGATCCGACCTCCGAGGTGACGCTCTTGCACGCGTCTTGGGCAACCTCGACGTAGGAGGGAGTTTTGAGGAAGTCCCAAAAGCCGCGCCAAGTTGCGGAGCGCGGCATGCCATCGGGGCCGACGAGCGACTTGAGAACCTTCAGGTACCGCAAGTAAGCTAGGCCGCCGAAGGTTCCCAGCGATCCGAGGGCCGTCATCAACACGGAGAGGAGGACCTTCCACCATTCCCCGCATTCCTCACCGGGAGGCGGCGGCGAGGGCGGCGGAGTGGGCGGCGGCGAGGGCGGCGGAGTGGGCGGCGGCGAGGGCGGCGGAGTGGGCGGGTAGTTGCACTCCGGAGGGTATTCCGAGCCCGAGGTGCAGGCGTCGGGAAGGGCGGGCAGGGGGCAGGCGAAGTGGTTGGTGCCGCCCAGCCCGCACGAGTACGTTAGCGGCAGGCTGTTGAGCTGCGACGGCACGCTGCCCGAGATGAGGTTGTTGTACAGCTTAAGAAGAGTCAGGTTGTAGAGCATGCTCGTCTCCGCAGGGATGGTGCCCGAGATGGAGTTGTTGTACAGGTAAAGCATGTACAGCTGCGAGAGCTTGCCCGTCTCCGGAGGGATGGTGCCCGAGATGTCATTGTTGGACAGACTAAGCACCCCCAGCTGCGAGAGCTTGCTCGTCTCCGCAGGGATGGTGCCCGAGATGGAGTTTTTGCGCAGCGCAAGCACCCCCAGCTGCGAGAGCTTGCCCGTCTCCGGAGGGATGGTGCCCGAGATGGAGTTGTTGTACAGATCAAACTGCCACAGCTGCGAGAGCTTGCCCGTCTCCGGAGGGATGGTGCCCGAGATGGAGTTGTTCCACAGGTAAAGCTCCACCAGCTGCGAGTTGTCGCCCAGCTGCGGAGGGATCGTCCCCGAGAGCCCTTGATTATGCAGATCCACCCAGGTGCCCATGAAGTTGCCGTCGCACAGCGACGTGCCGTACACGCCGGTAGGGCAGCCGAAGGAGCACGGCGCGTTGTTGTTGCAGATCGTGCCCGCAGCCTCGCAGCGATCCGCCAGCAGGAGGAGCGCGAGCGGGGCGAGGCGCGGCGCCGAGGAAGAGCAAACCGCCGCCAGCAGCGTAAGAGCGAGTGAGGTTGCCAAGGTCATGGCGGGCGCGTCTTGCGGCTCCGCGATGGCAATATCTGCGGGCGGGAGGGTGCAGGCGGTTCGAGCCGAGGGGGGGCGCGGGGCCGCTGCGGGCGAGCGAGAGCGCATCGCTCGGCGGGAGCGGTGCGGACGCGGCGGGCTCCGCGGGCGATAGGCGTCGCGGGGATCCAGGTGTGCAGCTTGCGGCTGCTATCGTCTGCGCGAGTGGCTTCGTGCATGGCAAACCTTGCCAGGACCACAGCCTCGGCAATCGAGAGGTGAACGTGCCGAGGTGTGGGCGCCCTTTTTAGTTACCAAAAGAGGGCTACACACGGCCCTCTACGCTAGGGCGCCGGCGCCCTACTGGGCGCCCCCCGCTCCCTTCCCCTTAGAGCCCCCCATCCCACTAGCATTCCCCCGCGGTCCCTCGCGGTCGCGCGACGCCGCACCAATGGCAATAATCTCTCTTCCCCAATGGCGCGCTGTGCCTCGTCCGCGAGCGCCGTCCAGAGCTGCACCGAGAGAGAGATTTTTAGAAGCCAACAAGAAATGTGTCACACAGAGTGATTTGCGCTCGGCAGCTTGTCGACTACCAGCCGGAGCCGGAGTCGGAACCGTAGCCGAGATGGTCTTCGAGGGTGTCGAATATGTCATTCGCCTCGCTAGTGGAGCCGGTGCCGCACGAGTCGCGGTCGGAGGAGGAGTCGTCGGAGGAGCGGTGGGACGCCTCGCGCTTGTCGCGCCTGATGCGCTCTGCGAGGGGGCCGGGGTCGTGGTCGTCGTGCTCGAGCGTCGGGTAGGTAGCGCGCCTTGCGACCTTGTCGGCCGAGCTGCCATCCCAGTAGAAGGTGTACCAGTCGCCGCGTGGATAGAACCAAGCGTTGACCAACCTGTACCGTCCGAGAGCGGCCGCCTGAGCGGCCTGAGCGGCCGCCTGAGCAGCCGCCTTTGCAGCAGCCTCCTCGGCTGCAGCCTTCCGCGCCGCCGCCTCTGCGGCCGCTGCAGCGGCCACAGCCGCAGCTTTGGCGTCGCGGGCTTTCTTGTTTTCTTCTTCTCTTGCACCGACAGTCGCTGCAGCGCAAACGGCATCCATTCGCGCGCCGACCACGACGTCTGGGCGTACTGCCACCACGGGCGAGGGCTTAGGTGTATATTGGGCGAGGGCGGTCAATGCACGGAGCTATCCCCTGAAATTCTCTTTTTTGTGCGCGCCAGAAAAAAAGAAAGAAAACAGACAAACCAAGGGAGGGATGGGAGGACGGCACGCCGCCACCACACAGGGATTTTAAGGAGAGGGGTGTGGTGCGCTAGCCGTCGCCCAGAAAGAAAGAAAGAAAACAGACAACCCAAGGGAGGGATGGGAGGACGGCACGCCGCCGTCGCCCCGCTGGGAGATCCATTTGAAATTCTCTTTTTTGTGGGGCAGAGACAGCAGGCGCTGCGAGCAGCTTCACGCGCCGCCATGAAGGTGAGCGCCGCAGCTGCGGCCGCGGCAATAGTAGTGGCGGCGGCGGGCGCCGCCGCCGCACACCGCCCTCTCGCCCATGGCCGGCTCCTGCTCGTCGCTGCGCGCCGTCGCGCGCCGAGCCGGCCGGGGCCCGTTTCTCTCACGTGCTTCTGACCCTGCGTGAGCCCCCCCCGCTCGCGTCCGCAGCTCGTCCGCTTCCTCATGAAGCTCTCCAACGAGACGGTCACCATCGAGCTCAAAAACGGCACGATCGTCAGCGGCACAGTGGCGGGCGTCGACGTCTCGATGAACACGCACTTGAAGCATGTCAAAATGACGCTCAAGGGCGAGCGAAACCCCCGCGCCGCCACCCTCGCCGCTTTTCCGCCACCACCCATCCGCCCCCGCTGGCCTCCTCGCCGTCGCCGCCCCCCTGTCGCCGCCGCCGCCGCCGCCGCCGCCGTCGCCGCCGCCGCCTCCTCCTCCGCCGCCGCTTGCCCTTCTCACGCCTCCCGCCGCGGGCAGGGCGCAACCCGGTGAGCCTGGACACGCTGTCGATCCGCGGCTCCAACGTGCGCTATTTCATCCTTCCCGACTCACTCAACCTCGACACGCTTCTCGTCGACGACACGCCGAAGCTCGTGCAAAAGTGCGCCGCCCCGACCGCTGCACCACCCCGTGGCCTGCGAACCCCCCCCCCCCCCTTTCTCGTGGGGAGGCCGGTCGGGCCCGCTGCCTTCGTGCCTCTGCCCGCGTTGCGGTCAGTGGTGGTTTGCCCTCTGCCCGCTAGCGG